AAAGTAGAAGCAATTAAAAATTATCCATGAAGTGTTTTATACGTATTTTAAGAAAGAAGGTAGCACGAATAACCCTTGAAGAAAAAAATAAAAATGGGGAAAGGTAGAGTGGGACCACCTGGGGACTTCAGAGCCGTCAAAAGGATCCGTGAATAAATGATCAACAATGGAAAGCTCTACGTGACAGAGAAAGATGATAGTAGATGGGTGCAGTGGGCACCAAAATGGAAGCACGAAAGATTTAACTGACATTGTAAAGAAGACCGTAATCGAGTTCCCACAATATCTCGTTCGATCTGGTGAAGAACTATGAATAAATCAGCTCCATACATCCCTACAAAAAGGAAAATTTCCAATAGACGATGCGGTGCGGACTGAACGACACCAAATTTGACCATTAGTTTAGTTCAATTTAGTTGGGCGCCAACATGTTTCCTCAGTAAGAACAAAAATTGTGTATTATGTGGCAAAAACATTTAAAGCTTTTCTATGGCCATATCGCCAAAAAATAAGGAATTTACGGAATTTAACAAACCTTTGAAGCCGCAGTGCAACGTGTTCCAGCTGGTTGGGATTTGCCAGAGAATATACTACTCTTCGTACCGACCACTCTCAGATGAAGAAATCGTGCAGCCCATTCACGAGCTTCTGCGTCCAACGACTCGTCTGAACACTGGGCTACAGCACCAACAAAAGAAGAAACGCGACCGCTTACACACTGTTCATTCGAACTCCTTCATACAAACATGCGTCCAGCTGCGAAAGAAATCCGCACTTGTGCCCACGGGATGTGTTCGGCTCGCTATAAATTGACTCACTCCACTGAGACATCCTAAAACACGATCGTACAGAACTTTCAATGTAACACGAAGGCAAGCACAAACGCGAAAAGGTCCAATAATGGCTATATTACTATTCCATCAGCAACTGTTCCGTAATTGTTACGGCAATGCCGTGAGTATAAAAAGGTGAGAAATTTCCTAAGGAAACCTATAGATACAGTTTCGTTCCACATAAATGACACATGGCAGCTGTAGAGTAGTATGAGATTACTACGGAAGCTACGTGCCAGCAAATAAATCGATGTTCCACGACTTGAGAGCTGCAGAACCACTCGTGTCCTTGCCATAGCAACGCAAAGCTTTTGTCCACGTGTGGCGTATAGCACACTGTGAAGCCTATGCGCTATAAATGTAATTGGAGGTAAGAAGGATGCCAATATGGGAAATCACCGAGCAAAATTTTCAATCAACTTCGCTTCGTAATCCCTGCGACCTTTTCCAACGTGGACCATCCCAGTGATCACTGTCAAGGCAGCTCGTGAACAGCGAGGTGTTCATTTGCCCTAGCAAATCCCTAGCATCTTCTTTAAACTACGTAACTATCCTTTCTAGTGAAATCTCCAAGTTCTTCTAGTTTCCCAAAAACTTCCGCGTTGCTAAACATGAATTAAGGTGACATTCCGGTGGAATCAGGTTGCGGCGGGATTGCTCACTCTGGAAACATTAGAGCAAGAAGGAACCACCGATTTCCTACTTCTGACTCCATTTCACTGATTCCAGCACACCGCGAGGAACTGTTGAAGCTCTGAAGTTATAAACTGTTCTGGATACTTGGATAGCAAGTCTTAACTGATTTTGCGTGCACCGGCATAATTTACATCTGCTGATTTAGCGACTGTGTTTCTCTGGAGTCACGAATCAGCCTAGTCGAAGCTTTCCTCAGTTCGTCACAAACCCAGAGAGTCGCCACCCCTTTGGATCAGTGGGAGAGTTGCCATTACGCTACTGGTTTGGTGCGAGGACGATGGTGATTCCTGCTATTGATTTATTCCTAGCTGGGCTTCCGGATGAAAAAGTCGGACCACTTCTCAGCTTTGGAGGCCACGGTGGGTGGTGAATCTTGCCCCAAATTGCATCCTGACACCCAAGAACACCTCTCAGTCACAATGAGGCGGTAACCCGTTGGGTTGTACAAAGTGTTCAACTCTACGACTACCTCGACCATTTTCGCCTGTCAGGGCCATCGGACCGCGTGCTACTGGAGCCGCGTTGAGCAGTCAAAATGCGCATTGTACTCAAGATACTGTCCGTGAGACCTGTCAAAAGACGCGGCTCACCGGTTTCTTGAGGTTATCCTCCTATTGCTCCGTCCCCTCACATATTTTCCGTGTCTGTCCAACCTCCAGACTTCCGATACGATCTTCTGAGTCTCATGTTCGTGGACACCTCCCGTGGGTGATCTAACTCTTGTGTGTGGTGAGAAAACTCGTTCGCATTCATTCATAGTGCTGTCGGCATTAATGAAGTTGTGTGAGTTGAACAACCGTTCTATACGATGCCTCTGATTCATCATAGCTATTGAAAATAATATAAGGACGAGTTGCTTGTCAAAAGTATTATTTCATCAACACGATACCAGTTCTTCGATAACTCTCGAAAATTTTTCGATGATTAGAGTACTCCAGGAATTAGGACCTACACAGTCGTACGAAACTGGCTTTTTACTATCATTTTCTGGACATTAATGTTATTATATACTCTCGCGTTCAACATCATAGTCATAAGTCGTCGTAGAGACGGGTTCAATGCCGACTTGGGCTCCCCAGATCAGAGGGGGAGTAACGCGTTCACCAGCACACCATGCGGGATCAATCCCGCTGGTGGGCGATTGCTGATGGCTGTGATCGATAGAACTAGCTGAGAGACAGGCGAAACGAAGGACCTGCATGGTGTGGTGGTGTACGCATTACTCCCCGGAAAGGACAATAGCGCGTTCGTTCCCCACCGCAGCATGGGGTCGATCTCCTGGCCCACCATGCTCTTCATCCATCCGGGATCGGGAAATTGGTACCAGACTTGTCTGGGACGGTGGCAGCATTGGCTTGATACATCGGTAGGCCACCATCAGTCATTGTACAGGCCAGGTATGCGTTCAATCACCTCCAACGATGCTTCATGAAGTTTAGTGCATGGAGCATCCCTCAGCGATTGATCCACCGAGAGCTTTAAAAACGATAAAAGATAAAGCTCTCGGCATCAATCTCTGAGGGATGCACCATGCATTTGACCCCACTAAGCATTGCTTGGAGGTGATTGAATGTTTATCTGACCTATACTGCTACTCGCGAGGGCCTACCGATGATCGAGCCAGTGATGCTATCCTACCAGACAAGTCTGGTACCAATTTGCCGATATAGGTAAACGTTCTGCTATACATACTGAGATGTTCATAAACTTTGTCACTGGACAAACGCAATAATCTAGATGTGCTACCCATTTGCATTTTAGTCGACTGTCATTGGGGTCACTTTCATTTCCTCGTCCAATTCCCGCCTCTCCAGATGTATAATAAACTTTAATGCTACAACATCCAGGTGATTTTGAAGGTTTAGCGGTACATCGGGGACCTCCTGGTCCGTCACTGGTTTTGCATGAATATCCTCCTCCATTTAGGCCATGGTATTTCTCTTATGTATGGTACTTTCCTACAGCAATTCCTAACAGTGATTTAGGTTTCCAAACGTTACTCTTTCATAGCAACCGTTCAGACATCACTGGGAGTATTCTGTCTGAATGCATAGACCCGGTCGATTTCCACGAAAATTGGTAGCTGCTCTATGCAAAAAGGGACGAATACTTTTGCGTAACGAAGAATTCTGTATGGGGAAGCAGCAATCGTATATTTGGCAAACTACCGAATAGTCCAAATGTTTCGCTTCTTCAGTGTTCTAGCATATCTGGCTTTACCTATGATTTAGATGTACGCATCTGTTTGTGCACCACAACCAAAGATTGACAACTGGAGAGTGTTTGGTACTGAATGCTACATTTTTCCAAAGTACTGTTCACAGTCATCCCAGTATACATGGGATCCATTCCCATGTCCCAAACCCACCAAGCACCCGATCCCGCCAGGATCGGCGAAATCGTACCAGACTTGTCTGGGAGAATGGCAACACTGGTTCGATACACTGGTTGGCCAGCAGGAGTAAGGTAAATTCGGTAACCGTGGTAAAGGATAAAGCCCCAACATGCATTCAGTCACCTCCGACGGTTCTTAATGAAGCCGAATGCATGGCGTACCACTCAAGGACTGATCAACGCCGAGAGCGTTCTACCTACGCTTGCTCTTGCTACAAGCAACAAATACCTTCATATAAGTCTCCTCCACAACTGCGGAAAAAAGTTAGGACTAAGGGCAGGCGGGATCCCGACAAACTTCATTAACCCTGCCCTGGACACGGTTTGGATATGGTCCATACAGCAAAATACCTTCCGAAATCCTACTTGCTGAAATGTGAAAGAGTTGAAAACGAAGTCTTTTCCTACGGGTGTAGTCTTCCCAGTGATGAACACGCACTTTAAAGACGAACAGACTTTATTAAAAATACGTCTATAGATGTCTCCTAGATGATATGCCATCTCGTGAGGATAAAGTGCCACGACGCTCAAATCATTACTGTGTAGGTATGAACAAATGCCCTGGTATCCATAATGGAAATTCGAACAAACAATCTAACTTTTCCGGATGTACAGCACAATGAGAAAACATCTATGGACTACCCTCAGTATTAAATCCATATGGAAGGGTTGTTGATTGGCTAAAAAAAAGCGTGGCAAGGGTCTCTGAACCGAGATAAACTAGTAGAGCGTGCGGATGAAATCAAGAGGTGCGGTCTGAAAAGTGCGGCGGCGTGCATGTCGGATTCAATGAGGATGGTCGCAAAAGGCTTAACAATAGCTATCAAGCCCCAAAAAATTTATACAACAAACAACGTAGCAATTTATCATTAAACTTTGATTCTCACAATCAATGCGACTAAGAAAGGCTGAAAAAACCACACAACCGGAAACATAACTTAAAATGGTATGTAGTTAAATCTTCATGAAACCAACAAGACGGGTCATCAAGCAACAAAAGATATATGAACATAGGGGAAAAATTACCGCAAAACGCCCAGATAATTAAAACCTTTCTCACAGTGTATTTTAATTTCATCACTTCTTCTTGTCGTCTTTACAAATCGGTGCTTGTTTCACAAATGGAATAAAAGTACGGTACTTCATTGGCATATACGGTTGAAGAACCTAAACACATCACGCTTAAGTATAATTTGTTTAAGCGATGATAAACAGATAAGGTAAGTAAACACCAGAACAAAAAACGAGACGAACATCCAACAACAACGAACAAATTATAAATGAAAGGATTCGGCAGTGTAAAATGTTACCTCGGGAACCACAATACCACCTTCAGTCTGGTAATTCTCCAATAAAGCACAAAGGACTCGAGTAGTTGCACACATTGTTGCATTTAGCATATGCACAAATGGAACCTGTAAAACAATCCAGTCTTAATGGACGAGTAAAGAAATAGTCCTTCAACAATGAGTCAATGAAAGTCGAAACTGCTAAGTAATGCGTCAACTCACTTCACCGTCCATTTTTTTGGTCATACCGTATCGTACTTTCAGTCGACGAGCTTGGTAATCGAGGCAGTTTGAACAAGAGACTAATTCTCGGAAGGCACCCGAACCAGGGAACCACGCCTCCAAATCAAGTCTTAAGCAACAAGATGCAGTTGAGAACATAAGAGCAAGACCTTGGCTACTAATTTCTAACCTGCGAAACTCTATGTATCAGCAGCTTGTTTAAAAATCAATGCAGGATTTGCAATTTTATCTTTCCTACATGTTTAAGTAGTTTTCCCAAGTGTTGTACTATTACATATTAATGGAGAGTTTATGTTCTGTTATTGTTCGCTTTCGCGCCTAATTTGACTATTCATATGCAATGCATTTTCGACAAAATTTAAAGGTTGCAACTGTAGATTTCAAAACAGAAATTTCTGTAGCCAAACGGTTAGGACTATTAAAGGGATACAGGGCGAAGCAATCGTCATCGAACGCACAATACAGCGTTGATTTGGAAAATCTCGTCATGGCGAACTCGGTATCGAAGATTAAGCAGGTATCGAACGTTCGTATGCTATCGACGACGATGAACTGAAGGTTTTAGTGGAAGCAAATACACGCAGAACTAATAATTCCCTACATGACTGAGCTGACATGAGATTGGTAAGAAAACTATTACTCCGCCCAAGTTTCGGCGTTTTCGACCTCTCCAGAATCGCAGTGATCCGAGTCGATGGTCATAAGCTGGTCTTGTTTGGGCGGGGGCGTTCGTAGTTAAGGTACATGCAGAACTGTTCGAGCAATTGCAGAAGAACTTGGTGTGAGCATTTCAGCTGCCAGGGTTAACTGAAGGAAATCAGAAAGAAGAAGCATGACAAATAGATACTGCATGAACTGAATGGAAACAAAAAAAATCGCCATTTTGAAGAATTGTCGGCGTTCCTGCGCAATAAGAACAATCCGTTCCTCGATCACATTGTGATCGGTTCAGTGGCTGGATCACGAACAAGCTCCGAGGCGCTTCCAAAACCTTGAACTCTACCGAAAAAGATCGTGATCTTTGGATGATCTGCCGCAAATTGGCCCATCAAAGATTCCTCAATAAATTGAGATGATTACGGTGAAAAACCATGTCTAGCATGTCTATGGAATACACTAAAAGCTTCAACGTCTGTGCTGTGCAAGAGACCAATCCTTCATAATAAGGCGCGACTACGTGTTAAAAAACCAATGTTGCATAGGTAGAACGAGCTATGCTTTGAAACTCTGCGTCCTTCACCACACCTGTTGGATCTAATGTCTACTGGTTACCACTCCTCCACGCATCGTCATAACTTCTTGTACGAACAATGGTTCATAAACCCAAACGTAAGCCGAAACTATTGCCTTCAATGCCTTCTTCCCCTCCAGAGCCTCAGAATTTTATGGCATCAGAATAGACAAACTTGTCCACCGTTGGCAATGATTTGCAGATTACAACAATTTTCATTCCGATTAATACAGACGATTCTTAAGTGATATACTCCCACTAGAAAAGTGCATGATGAAATCCTGCGTTAATTTCCGAACAACCTAATATGTCATATAAACTTCAAGCTCTTCGAAGTGAAACAAATATAGGAACATACTTCTTCGAAGCGGCATTATTAAGCTCACCAGAAACGATACATACTACTTGATATGGGATTCCAAGTAACTGACAGTACTCCTCAGCATTATTAATCATCTGAAATGGGAACTAAATAATTCAGAAACTCTGCAAAATATAAACTTCTGTGGCCTAGCGCAATTGCTGACATAAGAAACAGAGCTTATGGAAATCAATATTACTGTATCTTCAACAGAAAAAACTCTATTTTTTACATGGCGTAGTTCGAATTAAACTACCACAGTGATTGAGGATAGCTAGAGAACGAAGATTGTAACTAGTCGAAATATGCTGGTCTGTACATACTCATAAAGACATTAAATTTCAGAACTCAAAGTAAGAACATTACCTCATCAAACAACTTCCACGATTCATCGTCTAATGGAGAACAAATCACAAACTGTTCAACTTTCTCGAACTGATGCACCCTGATTAACAGTAATTTGAATCACACGTACACACACTTCATCTGACGCAAAAAAAAACTAAACCACTGAATAATCATAGGTAAACTGCTCACTTATAAACTCACCGAAATATTCCTCTAGTGTCTCGTCCATGACTTCCCACTTCTTGACGAAAACAAGTTGACACACCGGCGTATTTGATAGGCAGATCAGACTCCTACAACAAAGCTAAAATGCAGACGAGTTACCTCTTGGGAATCTGAATGATGTTCATAAGCATAACTTTTTTAGTGCATGTTCTCATCTTCAGGAACCGGGAGAACATACATCGTAGCGAAACACAGATGGGGAAACAAACAACATACAAACACACATGGTGAGAATGGATGGACGAAGAGAACTGTAGAGTGGACTCCACGAGAATGCAGGCTCTCCCAGGGTAGCCACCCACATATTCGGTGGACGTGTTCGTAACCAAAGTTAATCAGCTGTACTTGCAATCTCATTTGTTTCACAGATCACGGTATGAGACTCGCATGCACCAGCATGTTCGAGTAAAACCACCACCATGGACGACGACTGCGAAGGAAAGAAACGAATGGCAAATGTTCTTGGATCCGCACAGTTTGTGAAGACGGAGAGTCCAAGTATCTAAGTAGGTATGTTCTCTACTTATTCTGTTCAACACAAGAAATGATGTTTAGAAAAAATACATTACCACAAAACGAACACGAAAAAATCTACTAACAACAGCTGTAACTTTTAACACTAAGAGAAAATGACGTACATTGTGCGAGTACCACTCAGAATTAAAAAGTGGCCGAACTAAGACGGCTGAATACTAGAATTATGTAAAACGATAGAACTAACCTTAAGCCATTCGTTCCTGTGAAAAGCTGCTATTGGCTGCTCTGATGTAGCAATGAGATATTTCTCGTCTACTGAGTTATCGCCAAGCACTTCAGACCCCTTGCTGGTCACCTGAAGCATGAAACAGTATTTAGTGGAACTACATAAAAGATGAAAGAAGACTGTATAGGAATAGTACTGTAACAGACCTTATACAATTCTTCATCAAATTGACTTAGCTGGGCTACTTCCTGCATAACTTCTTTGCGCATAAAGAAGGGAGTGTAAAGCGGAATAAAGCCTTTTTCTTCTAACCTTTAACTGATTAATTAATGTCATAAAGCAGAGTACTTCATATTAAAAGTTATAAAAACGACATGTCATACTTATGCAATGCAAGTTGAATAATAGCTTGTTCGAGAAAGACGAGTACTCCTTTCAAAAAGTAGCCTCTACCACCAGCAACAACAGTTCCACGTTCGCCGTCAAATCCATCTATCATTACTACGAGATCAACCTAAAAATTGCCTATGTGATCAAAACCTAAAAGCAGAAGAAAACGATCTTAAGATTAATCTCTATTCAACAAAACACTAAACCGAAAAAAGCGAGACCAAGGTAGATTCAGCCAACAACCTGTACCACCTGTCGTCCCGCTGAACCTCGAGTGACTCGAGCGGGTGCCAGTAAATCTTCCATTTTTTCGTCGCGCGCAAGAGTAGCCCAGTGGGTTCTGCTCGCTCTAAGGACTCGTCGGGCATCATATCTTTCTTCAAGGCACTTTGTGAAGAACTCTGACCATCGGGTCGGTGGTATTCCTTCAGTACGTTTGACATCCCGGGGAATCCAGTCACTAATGGCTCTTGTCCATCAGTTGTCATACGCATTACGTGTCCAGCCCACCTTATCTTCGACTGTTTGGCATACAGAACGGCATCATTGATTTTTGATCGTTGACGCAGATCGGAGCTTCGGATACCATTCCTTACTTGTGTGGAACAAGATACTCCTAACAACGTCCTTTCAACTGCGCGTTCGATAACGTTGAGTGACCTTTCGTCCTGCTTACGCAGCGACCAGGTTTTTGACGCATACGCTAGGGCAGGAAGTACCGCTGAGTCGAAAAGGTTGGCACGGAGTTGGGTGTTCTTTGTCCTCTTCACTACATCCTCGATGGTCTTGAAAGCTCCCCAATCCGCTCGTTTCCTTCTGCTCAGCTCTGGCGTTAAGCCGTTCAACATGTTGACTTCCCGACCAAGATAGACATAAATGGAGCATTCGGAGATATTCGTTCCGTTGAGCGTGAATAGGGCATACGAAACCAATCCGTTCTTCATTAACATCGTTTTTGCGAGATTTAGTCGAAGACCAATCTTTCCACAGGCCTTATTTAAGTCGTCAAACATACGTTCCACCTAGCTAATGTTTGGTGTTATAAGGACGATGTCATCAGCAAAGCGAATATGGTGTAACTGCCGACCCTCGATTTTCACTCCCATATTATCCCATTCCAATGCTCGCATGACGTTCTGGAAGGTGGCGGTAAATAATTTTGACGAGTATTCCTTTGCCTAACTCCTCTTTTGACGTCAATGTTAATATCGTTGTAGAATGGTGATATTTTGGTTGTGAAATTTTTGTACAGCTCACGAAGAATCTTTTTGTACTGAGTATGGACTGCTTGACTATCAAGGGCTTCCAGAACTGCTTCTATCTCGACTGGATCAAAGGCCTTCTGTAAACCGATGAAGGTGATACAGAGCAGTCTTTTGTACTCTCGCGATACTTCAATGAGCCTTGTTACCGCGTGGATGTGGTACAACGCACTAAATCCTCTTCGAAACCCTGCCTGCTCACATGGCTGTCCTTCGTCCAGTGTTCTGTCAACCCTCTCTAGGATGACTCGAGTGAAAAGTTTGTAGACGACAGATAGCAAGTAGATTGGGCGATAGTTGCCGATATCGTGCAGGTCACCCTTCATGAACAATAACACGGTATTGCTAGTCTTCCACTGAGTAGGGAGCTTGCATTTAGCCAGGTAACGGGTGAATAACCGAGCCAGTGTGCTTACGAGGATTGGCGGAAGGTTCTTCAGTTGTTCTGGTCTTATTCTGTCCAGACCTGGTGCTGTTCGATTTTTCACTGACGAAATGGCATGTCGGATTTGGGAAGGGCGAGCCGGTGGTACAACATATCCATCCTCCTTTATTTCATATGACGGAAGGTGGACGTGGCTATCGAAGAGATCTGAGTAGTATTCGTGAATGATTTTCTCCCTTTCTGGACGCTGTAACTGTTCCGTCAAGGCGTCGGAGTGCAATCACCTTCGTCTTGTAATTGGCGAAGCTTCGGCGGGCTTTGCGAATGCTTTTCCCAGCTTCTGCAGCTTCGACTATTACTGCTGCTCTTCTCTCTCTAAGATCTTCTTTTATCACCTGTCTGCATTGCTTTGCAAGTTCGGACGTTAGTTTGCGGTTGTCTGCAGCTCGTGCGATTCCGCGCTGGCGTATCAGCTCGAGTGTTTCTGGAGACAGACGTCTCTTGGTGTCTTTCGAACTCTGAGCTTTCATAGTGCTAGCGTGAAGATGTTGAATAAGTCGATCGTATTCTTCGTCTATGTTATCGACAAGGACACCTTCCCAACAGTCGACTAATGAATTGGATATCCCAGTTCACGGTGGTTCTGGGACTTCGGTTTTGGAATTTAGCGGCTTTTTCTCCTTTCCGCGAGAAATAGAATCTTGCACGGAGACGATGGCCTGATCCCGTGTAGAATTTTGGGACAACAGTGACGTCGGTTAGAAAAACCTTCTATTTACTATCTATTTATTAGCCAACAACCTACGTGTGAATATCTTCTCCTAACTGTGACATCACCAAAAGTGCGCTCAACGCGGTTGTTCGTCTCATCGTCAGATACTGGGACACTGTGATGAACGATATTTCCAATCTGCACCAGATTCTGGTTTCGCTCTGTTTCCAAGCTCTCCATTAATGCCTATAAACACAGTAGTTCCAACCCTATGATTCATACGAGAGAGTGTATACCTTCGTTTCATTCATCTTGTCATCCAGAACAGCACGCAGCTTCTTGATCTGGGTTACAGTCAGCCCCTTAAATTAGAATGTTATCTTAAAGACGTTTCAAAATCCCATACGTGCAAATGGAACCTTACGCTAAGATCTTCCATTTTGAGAGATTCTAACCGCGAAACAATTGACTCTTCTACGCAATCAGTTGTCCCCTGTGCTTCTTTTTTCTGAAAAAAAGAACAAATGTAGCTCGTAAAATCTTTACCAACGATGAAAGATCAAAGAAAGGAAACCTTCATCTTTTCCGCAACAGCTTTGCTTAATACGTTCTTTTGTCTGTTAAAGACATCAACAAGGAACCGGGCTGAAAAAAAAAACGCGGAAGAGTGGAAACCTTTAACAGGTATAAAGGATAAAAGGATAAAGGTCTCGGCGTTGATCAATCCCTGAGGGATGCGCCATGCATTGGACTTCATTAAGTGTCACTGGAGGTGAGTGAATGCGTATCTGGCCCTCTGCAATTACTCGCGGTGGCCTACTAATGTATGGAGCCAGTGCTGCTATCCTCCCAGACAAGTCTGGTACCAATCTACCGACCCCGGAGTGATGGAAGGCTTGGTGGGCCATGGGCGCGGGGATTGATTCCACCTGTGTGTCGCAGTGGCGCCTCCAACCACTGCGCCACGAGCGCCCTTTTACAGGTAGAAGAATGAAAGCCACAAAGAGATAATAAAAGATACGTACAACTGGGAGTGGGTAACATAGTGGTAGTGATGTCGGTCACCACGAGCATGGTGCTAGTTCGATTCCGCTGTGGTACAACCAACCTCATCATCGCCCCGAGGTCCGGAAATTGGCACCGGACTTGTCCGGGAAAAAACCACTCCCATGCAATCCAATTGGGAACGTTCCAGCCCGGCTATCTCACGACTCCAGGAAGAATCAACTGGACCAGTAATTCTACGGCATTCAAGATGAAATGAAGATCTTCAAGCAGTAGCCGAACCCACACGTAAAAGTTGGAAGATTTTTGTGGATGATGGTTGCGAGGAGACAAGACAAATGTGAGAAGTGCTGTGATCCACACAGTAGACGTGAAGATGGGTAGAAGAAACATAAAAAGAAAGTAAAAATATATACAATACCTTTCCTCCAAGACTGGTCGAGCTCAACCACCTTGTCAACAAGAGTGGGATCCTTGTATCGTTGGCGCTGCGAGTTTCGCACCACTTCAGGATTCCCTCCTGAAAGATATCTAATTCCTCTACACAAAACCAGCCAACCTCGGATTAAAACGGCGCCACCGTGAAAAGCATAAAGCAAAATCTATAAGCAGACCACACACCTTTCTCTTCCCGAAATAGATCAATATCGAGCACCATATTCTGTTACCTGCAGTTCAGTAAAAGTAAATTTAAATGACCGTAAAGGACGACCAGAAAGAAAACAATTTAGGAACACGAACCAGCAAAACTAATGGTGAAAAATTTCGCAATCGGTTGCAAGATTCTTAATAGAGCTGGATATCTTCGCGGTGACCTCACCAGAGAAGCCACTAGCGCTTGGAAGGAGCTAGGACGTCTCTTTTGCACTTCAACACTGATTTGCAACACTTAGGAGCACCTTTTCTCCATGAATTGGTCGCAAACCGTAGAGGAGACCTGTGCAGGTTAATTGAAGAGTATAACTGTGTCCTGAAGGCCAACGAAACTATTTGTCTGTAATAGGGCTGGCCGTTCATAAATGTTTCCACGTAGTACATCCTATGAAATAAATTCATCTTGCAAAGACCTTTCAATTAATGCTCCTTACCTGCCATCTAGAACCAATTTTTCTTTCATTCGATTCCAGCACTTCTGCATTCGATGAGTTTCCTCGCATCACCATCCACGAAGGTCGTCGAACTCTTTTGGATGTGGCTTCTACTGCTGCTTAACGACTTTTCTATCTTCATCGCGAATGACGTTGAATATCCGTCGACTTGATCCTCCCAGGAGTCCTGAGACAGCAGCACTACGGCTTTCATATGTAGATTAGAAGGAGTAGGCTTACCTTGGACAAATCTTATGCCAAATACCCGACCCAGAAAGGATGAGGGGCCTGGTGGGCCCGAAGCGTGGTCGAACTAGAACCTGGGTGGATTGGACCGTCTGCTTGATGAACGAAATCACTGCCACTGCGCTACTCGCTCTCTTTTAGAGTTTTTGTAACTACAAGTACCCATAATTAGCACCATTTTAATATTTGCAACTCACAACTTCTATAAGCGGCATTGCTTAACTACTCTACAACCTACAAGAACGTATTGCACATACTTTCCAATCTTTACAAACTAGGCTTTCCATAATTTACACTGCTTGTGGTAATTCTTGAAACAGTCTGTGCGGGCCGAAGTATTTGTTTCACTGGCCGCATTCAATGTTTATTTGCTTGGAACATATACAGGTAGACATCGAGTCCTAAATTCCTACTAGCAATTCGTAGCAGCCCACACATTGACTCCATTTCTGGGAGTTGTTTCCAATTCATGAGTAAGGGTGATGTAGCCATCGCCACTCTTTCTTCGAGGACCAGAGATAAAAGTAAGCCTGGGTCTTGAAATCGTTTATTGGGACTTTCTAGACAGTTTCGCAGCGGACCTTACCTATATTTACCAAACCCGCCTAGGTGAGTAAATGAAGGAATAGGCTATGTACGATAACAATTCCTATTTGTAGCAGGAGAAGATAAATTAATCCTCCCATTCATTCTTTATTCTTCTTATCTTCATCTTTCACCTTCCATTCATTAGCTGTTTTCTTTCACAACATGTCCTTATTGTTGGTTTCCTTCACCAGCACGTCGCAAATATCACGCATAAAGAATTCAAAGAAGTGAACGACAGGAGGAGAGAAGATCGCAGATCACTCCGATCTCATAGTCATCGAATAGCCTTGGCTACTGTAGTACTGCATAATCTGACCAGTCACCACCTCTCGCGCCGTCATCGACAAGTTCGATCTCATCGTCCGCTTTGGTTCCCGCATTTCTTACACGATATCCTCTGTGTTCTTAGTGTTAACGTCTTCATCACTCGCGATGAGGAATCGATCAGTGTTCGCCTCTACAACCCCTGAAATAATTCAGCCCTATACAACCTCACTTTCCGATGAGTAAAACTCCTCAAAAATCACAAACGCGAGGCTCAGCTGCAACATAAAGGAAAACTGAAACTTCTAAGGTAGTGAACGCCCCCAGCGCTTCAGTGGTTTCAACACAGTGGGAGGTGAGAGAGACGAAAGCCAAGTGAGAAAAAGAGCGATGAAAGCGAAGGAGAACTTCAGGAAGAGATAGACATGGTAACAATTCGTTAAGAAAGCGGCTGCCTCACGTATTGTTTGGTTCTAGTCCTATTCCGCCTCTTTCTGTAGATGTCAGCTTTCTTCATTACTGTTCCGAATTTCCTTTGATGTCTCAACAATGAAGCATGGCAATTGTTTCCTGCCTCGTCGTCCCTTCTATTGTTCTTGGCGGGCCGGGAAACAATTCAGTCTTTCAAATTTCAGCGAACATGTCCCAGCTTGAACACCCCGTCTTCACTTGTGCGGATCCCAGCATAATCTCCATTTTTCGGAGATTTGCTGGTTAAGCCATTGTCGTTCTTGGAATCCTGAGGACAGCCTGGCGGCAATCTGCCCCAGGTCTTCACGACCACAGGCAGTCGCAGCCGTTGTGGATCAGAGGGAGATTTACCATCATGCGACTTTGATACCAGAGCGGTGGTGGATCCTGGTATTCCTGGTATTGGTTTACTGTTAGCTAGGCTTCATGGAAACACCGGACTCCTTCCCAGCTTGGGAAACCCTGAAGGGGGGACGAATCCCCCCGCTGTACATCGCAGTCCGACACCCAGGAACACCTCCCAGCCGCGATTAGCTGGTAAAACGTTGGGAGGAGTCCCAGTTTTATTCATTACAATAAAAAGTTGTTGTTTGCAGGTTTTTTTAAAATAAGGCACCGAAGATTTTTTATCCTCGCGAGGTGAAATTCCGATTTTCTGCCGCCCGTTGAACCTAATTTTAATGTCGCTTTCCTGTTCTTTGGAGACTGATTTCGAACCGAACTGAAAACGAAAACAACACATTAGAGAATTAATATCCACTTTTAGATGACAGAGTAAAGTCTGATATATACCTTTTCGTCTGTCGTGTTCTCAACTCCTGAAGTACTGTAGTCACTGAGGAATTTTCGGCAGTTGTCAAAAAATCAGTGTCGTCCACTGTTTCGAGCATACAAAGACGAATTTTGACCAGTAGCTGACTGATATTTCAGTCTCAGTCACTTCGTATCGTGGTGATCTTAAGGAGTCAGTGCTTATAAAAAGTGCAAACGTATATATTTCCTACGCGTTGTGAAATCCAGTACCGGGTGCTGACAGCAACGTAGTTGTATATGGGGTAAGTCCGTAAGTCCTTTTCAGCATGTCCAACTGTTCGATATGTTCCAAAAGCAGAGAGGAACGTAGAAGAACTAAGAAGATTCATAGAAAAGAAAAACTACTCAGCAAAGAAGGTACTAGGAAAATGCATAAAAAACCGAACCATAGGCATAAAAGCACACGGAAAGCAGCTACTTACTATGGGGATATTGGGACGGTGTGAGTTGGTCTCAATTCATACACTCACAGCGAGTACGCAGAAAAATTGGCCATGAAGTAAGGCGTTAGCAACACAAATTTAAGCGACAGTCTTTACCTGCTAAGCAGATAAAATGGAGCTAAACTCTGCTGCTTTACCGACGGCTTATGAATCCTGATAGGAGGTTTTACGCATGTGAAGTAAATTTCGAAGCAGCTTCAAAGTGATTTTAAAAATGGGTAGTTAGGCCGTTAATGATATTCCTTTGCTGTTGACAAGCAACCAAGGATGAAATACTCATTGCTATGATCAGATGAGTTGGACGACCGTGCTTCTCACTTTCTAGATGATCTATTTCTAAATGGCCGAAAAATGTCATCGGTGAGCACGTCATGATTCCTTCCATGACAAAAGCGATAAAAGGTTACAAGCCTGTCTGGTTCACACTAGAAGTGGCTTATGGTTTTTACAGCCGGAGCCGCTCAGCTTGTCCAAATCAAAGTGCTCGCCCGCAATCCACTTTCCCTCAAGTGCGAAACATCAAGCAAGGCGGTAAGTTGTCCCCACACTGCTTTATGAAGCTTTCGATGCCTAAAGGTGGATATGGATATTTGCAATTGTATAGAAGTTTACTTGGAAGGGCATTCTTTAAAACGACGCCAATTTTAAACAATTCATGTACGAATGCCTCCATGTGCATAAATGCTTTCGTGTATGTACTGGTTCTCATCAATGCCAGTGCGTAGTGAATTTAGCGCTATGCCATCCAAGGCCACTTGTCACAAAATAATTATATTAGGTTTTTGTACAAGAAGGATAAAGAAAGATCAGTCCGTGACGTCTCCTGTCACTATTAAAGCCGTGGGTGTTATTCTTAACGTCGATCAATTCAAGACCTTGAAATTCCTTCAGGAATTCACAACACATGCGACGGGCACAGCCGCTGGCTCTCATGACAACCATTGTATAAGTGAGGAAAAATATGCTGTCCCCAAGTCGCTCAAACAATGCTTCCACTTACCAAAAACTTCCTTTCAGCCGTGGCGACATAGCAAAATTATCACACCAGGTTAATAGCAGAGAAATCGAATGTTTTTCACAAAGATAAACCAACAACATTTTGCAGCATCCCGCACCATGAAATGCTGATGTTAGGAAACGCTAGGATATGCTGTGAACCAGCGAAATTCAACCAAAGCATAAATGTAATGCAAAAGCATAGAACACGCACACAACTGGGTTCTCACTTGTGTTAGAACTCAACAAGTGCATCCCGTTTCGAGAGGACAGTAAACCCCTCGAGCCTTCAGCCTTGATTTCAGTCAACCAAACAATCATGACTAAGTTGTGAAGTTTTAATGCTAAACGGGAAAACTGGGACGAACAGACACCATGACCAGAGTGGACTCGTTGACAACGTTGACAGAAAGTTATTTGTTCTGTCGAATTCCTGCCATATACAGACCGTAAGGCACCGTAAAGATGATTCGACGGCATATTTTCTGTCTTTTTGCCAAACAAATTCTATTTTGCAGGTGCTCCACTTCGGTGTACCTGCCCGCATCCACCGGGCAGTCGAGCCACTGTTCAGTCAGCTCAGGCCATTCCACATCCTTCGTATCTTTCCCACTCATTCACCGGGCACCATACTGCTTGCCATCACCCAAATCCTCCTGGACTAGCAAGATCTTACAATACCTGCCACTACTCCCATTGCTACTTGCCACGTAATTTCAATCGATTCAATCACCCTGCATTCGGAGGAGGGGCTCACAAGTAAGTACTGATCTCAGAATTATTGAAGAGAAATGTCACTCAAACGTCTACATTGCAGAACTTCTGCCCTATCCACACCATCGCAGACGTCAGCCTCTTGCCCATCGGTCTACTACCCCCCACAATTTGCTCGTGCGCAGATGATTCATTCAGATCAGAACAACGGAAATATCGACGGAAGAATCCGAAGAATCTGTAACATTTTACGATCGGCACTGAATAATCATAGATCGGAGCCTCTTCCCATTATTGTGGCTTATTTCTTTCTTTCTTTGCGTTATGAAACCTTTTCAGATTATTTACGTGCACATCCAAAACATTGTGGGGAACTTTTCGTGGTATGTTGTTACTTCCATTTTTTTCACACTTGATTTCTTAATCGGTGAGTTGTTTACCGCAATATCGTAGGTTTTTTCCCATAGCGTTGGTCTATGACGCACAGCTACAGGTTGCTAAGCAGCCCAATATCTACATCCAGAATTCCCCAGTGGTAAAAGAAGACCAGTGGTAGGAACCACAGCCGTCCTTGCAAACCTCTATCCGATCTGCGCCATCCAATGATCGACAACAAAGCAGGAATTTCATAGTAAAGACGTTTCAGATTCAAGTGAAGAATCAATAAGAATAACCAGAAGTACACTATCCCCTCATCCAAACAGGACGCTCTTCTCGACAACCATGGGCAACGACCGAGCCGACAGGACTCCAAGGAGTCGTGCGCAGCCGAGGGCGTGGCTGGAACCGGATCATAGCAACACGTCCAAGACACGCCTTTAGCAAGTGTTTTATCCTGAAATCTAGAGTGGAAAGGCAAGTGAAAATGGTTACGTGATTGGAAACTCAGAATAGGAAGCCGAAATAAGATAGCCGTCTTGCTGGATTCATAATAAGACAATGCCACCTCTTTCTATCTATTCGCTTGTCATACCTATAACCTATCCCTACATGTGACGTGGATACCAACAGTTCTCTCATTCAATCTGTTCCTTTGCATCTGTAATCCTCGAAGACTTTCGGATTTCGAACTTTCGTTCAAATTCATGAATATTGTTGAACCTTGATGGAATTCGTTCTCGTGAGCTTCTAGGATAGCTCTGCTAGAGCCTTTCGAAGGCCTGCATCACAGGTAATCGCAGAATTTGGAAGACTAGAGGGAGCTCTTCCCAGACAAGTCTGGTATCAATTTTCTGGCTCTGAAGGGGTTACAACTCGAAGGACTAGGTCGAACCAATGACCAGTCGAACCATGTATTAAAGGGCATGTCTAACTAATGCATCTCACATATCTTTTCCTCCAAATTTATTTTCTTTTATTTTTCAAAGGCAGGAAATCGGCTAATCTCACTGTCTATGGACAGTCAATCAGATCTCACAGTCAAGAAATGGTGCATATTTTGAACGTATATCGTGTGCCTCCTACAAGCGATGACTGGATGGCAGCACATGTAGAAGTTCTTAACAGGAAGAAACAAATGTCCACGACGAAAATACTTCGGAAGAGATTCGTTCTCTACATGACTAACAAACTAGGAAGCATGGTCGAAACACTCCAAATATCTGTCGAATACAACTCAGTACTTCAGTAAATAAGTTCCGACCGCACCTACACACCACCAAAAAGTAGCTTAAGAAGGGAGAAAAAGCGGAATTAAATCGGATTGCAGCGCATCTAAATAGTAACAAATTGGTGTTACCAATCGTCCTCGATCAAGAGCTTATAATGATACAATGGGATGAAGAACAGTTGGAAGGCTAGATGTGCATTCAATCACCTCCAACAATGGTTAATGAAATCGAATGCGTGGCGCATCCTTCAAGGATCGATCAACACCGAGAGCTTTATTCTCTATCTTTTTATATACGAATGGTTTCAAAAGGTGGATTTTTAACTTTCTATCCACCTTTTCAGTTAAAGGGTCAAAAGGGTCACAAATTTTATTAGTCCAAAGGATATGTTCAGGCAGAATACAGTCGTATTCAACGTCTACGGTGCTATCGGTCATTATTCGCAGACTGGAAAATACCATCATGTCACCCGTTCTACTCTTTGGTCTTCATGCGAAGGAAAATACAAAGTTTGTTATTCAGCTTTTTATTTCTGCCACTCGTCGTCTATCACTTAGATTTCGGACGTCCGATCCACTTCGCCAAGAGGCGGATCTCGGTCTGAACTACGTCTTCGGCGTATTTGATACAGTATGATTCTTCAGATCCCATATGCTGCGCTTCACTGCAGAATTTGCGTGTCTCCACTATTGGCGGAACGGGGAAACAAAATGGAGGTCCGAAGCTATATTTTCGTGGCAGCTCCGCCCACATATGCACAATTTTTACTGTCGCTCAATTTCGATAAGTTCTAGGAAAAAACTCCTTACTAACTTTTGACAATAAAATGGTTTCAATACATAATATTGAAGTGGTTTTATAACTACTTATCAATTATATGACCATTTGATGCAGCATGGCCAATATATGGTTTTATAGAGCAGTTTATAGAGCATGGCCATCTACCAAAGGGTTCGTGCAAAAAGCGTCACGACAGTCGGAAGAAGAAAGTGAGACAGGAGAACTCTCTTTTTTTGAATATTTTCGCAGATCATATGCCTAAAGAGTTCTATTGGATGAAGAAAAGCAATATGATAGAGCATTTTTTATCAGAAAGTTCAATCTTCCTTGGGGTTTATCTAGATGGGCATCACTCGCATTGAAATGCTTTCTGCTTTAGCAATGTTCTGACCTGGACGAGACCGTTCGTCCGAAACCAAACATCGATTCGATCAGCATTAGCGAAGGTGAAGATCGTCATCCGTAAAAAATATTTCAGTGCCGGTCTCATGCGTGGTATTTTGTTAAAGCATTAGGGCTGTTTGCTTAATTTATTCGCAATACTTCTATTTTCGAATTCTTAGTGGTGTTAGCTATTCATAGCACTAGTGCTGTTCTGTCTCTTAACTCTAAAAGTAGCTACGATAAAATTAGAAGCAATCCAAGTACTACTATTTTTTTTACAAAAGTACATTTGGAAAAGCAAAACAGCAAATGTCACTCAAAGCACCGTAAAACTACGTGGTAATGGTCAACGGTGTAGTGGTGAATGGTTAATGTTGACGACACCTCTCCGTTGGTCAACACAAATATTTCCGAATTATAACCATGATGATGGTGAGATATTTGCAAAACTCCGGACTGCTGCTGTCTGCGGTAGCTGCTAAACACGCTTTTAACCTCTCCGGGGGCTAAGGCGTTCACCACCAAACCATGGGAGTCCTTCGCTTCGCCTTTCTTCCAGCCGTGTTATTAACCTTTAGGTGCTATTAGCAATCACCCGTCAACGGGATTGATTTGGAGAGCACAAATCGACATTGAATCAATAATTGATGATAGCAACTATAGGTCAATAACACTGTTGAGAGAAAGGTAGAACGAAGGACTCCCTCCCATGGTGCGGTGGTGAACGCGTTAGTCTCCAGAAAGGGTAATAGCGTGTTCATCCCCACCACAAACACCAGCTATTGGGAGTTTTGCAAATATCTCAGTATCGTTATGGTTATTGGTTATTTTATTTCACATAATACCCTGCCATTAAGAAATAGTAAGCAGTGGATTAATACCCATGACCGACTTTCTGTTAACCTCGGCATTAATTGATAATTCAATGTTTTTCATCAATAAGCAGACACGAGGTTGTTAATATAGAATTTATTAGAACACAATTGCTGACGTTTCGGCGGTTTCGCCTTCTTCAGAGCCTGGAAAGGTCAAATTGAGATGCGATCTACTCAGCCAAACACTTTCATAACCCCAGCAGATAAAACTTGATAAATCGATTTGTATTCGCATAAGAAACAGCTTCATTCAAACACCTACCGTTTATTTGTTGTAAGTATTTAAGTTAGTTGGTGGATAGCCGCCGCACAGAGTAATACATGGTCGATAACTGGGTCCATGTCAGATCATTGGATCAGCCTGAGGTATGGCGCTAGGTCACGCGTGATGACAAGACACTCCTCCTTGCGGTTCATTTTTGCCATCAATGCCCATCAATGCCAAAAATTCAAAAATGAACCGCAAGGAGGAGTGTCTTGTCATCACGCGTGACCTAGCGCCATACCTCAGGCT